AAAAGGTGCTTAGCGTTTTTTAACCCGATGCTCCCTTTCTTTTCTGCAGTCGTTCTACAAATGGTCACTCCAGTGACCAAGGGGGGGTAAAGGGTTAAGATATCGAATCGAATCAGATTTTTCAAAATTTAAACCGAAGATAAATGGATATACTGCAAACCGAATTGATCCCATCTCTGGTTTGTATAATGAGAAAATATGTTTATTTTAAGAAATATACAAGATGTTCGAAAAGTTACCTAGATTTTTTAAGGAAATTGCCAAGTTTTTATTCATAAAGTTATAATTTATAAATACTTATGAAAATGATAACTTTTGGATTCAATACATATGAAATTCCTATTATCGAGTTTCGAAAAACAAAAGGTAGGATTTTATATTGAATTGCCTCAATGTTTTTTCGTTACACTCTAGACTTTTTGAAATTCCAATGTTCTTCTCATACTTTGCAAATATTTACATAACACTTAAGCAATTAGTGTGTTTCTTCAAAACGATTTGTTCCTTATTCATCAACAGCTTTGACAAGAAATTAATTGATACAATTGACACAATTTTAGAGATTTTCATAATCAACAAAACTAAGACTAATATTTCTATTTATAAAAGTCTAACTTTATCTCCTAAAAAAAAGTCATTTGATTTGTTTTAGCCACAATGACGCTGTATAATTTTCTTTTTGATAGGGAACATTCCAGACATTGTATGTTTCTTTTCATACCTCCGAAGCCACCATCTGGATGTTGACATCGTTGTAAAAAGTCGCAAATACTAAAAGAAAAAGAGACAGAACAATTCAATTTAATGTTTTCTTAATTTTATTTCAAATGAAAATTACTCATTAGTATACGCCTCGGATAATTGTTCATCTAATAAATATAACGATTGAGTAATCCAATAGACTAGCCATGGTCGGCTAGCATCAAGTGACTAATGAAGAAAATATAGAATGAATTGTTTCCTTTTTTAATCAAATGTCAATACTTCATGGGTACGTGGCAAATGGCGAAGACCTTTAAGCAAAAACGTAGCATGTTTATCTCGTTGAAGAACAGGACCTCTGAAAAAAAAACAATAAAAAAAAATTAATTCTTTTTGTTTGAATAGAATATTTATATTTTTACTTTAATCCATAACTTGATTGTTGATTAAGAAAATTTTGAAAAAGTTTTTCAACAGCCTGTTCACAATCAGCTTGTTCTGTATTTGTTGCTGTATCTCTATTTTGAGTTCTATATGTATCAAGAAAAAAACCTTTTTGATCGATGCGAAGTGACATATCTAAAATATGCTTGTATTAGACAAATTAAAGTAAAGCGTGAAAGTGATAAGTTTTATTGAGTTAATGTTTATTTAAATGATTTAACTAAGTATGAATATAAATAAAAGAAGAAGAAAAAAAAAGAAATGCATATGAAAAATACTATTTTAGGCATTTTTTGAACAGATCTTAAGGTTTTTTTGTACTTGTGGTCGATATTCAATTAATTTTAACCATTTTTCAATATTTGGATAAGCATTTTCATCTAATTTATCTTTATAAGCTTTTGTAAAAAAAACTTACCCATGGAAATGTAGCGATATCAGCTATTGTATAATTATTACCGCTAACAAATGAATTTGTTGTAGCTAATTGTATATCAAGTACTTTTAATAAACGTTTAGCTTCATTTAAATAACAATTTTTAGCATAATGATTATTCATAAAAGATGTGAACATATCATTAAAGAACAATTTTCTTAAATCTTTTGATAGTATTATGAAACATAAAAATGAAGATACTTTCTTAATGTCAAAGTTTTTAGTTAAGGATCGATATTAAATGCATTATCTGTGAGGAGCACCAGTGAATCTCAACCCTCACCACGGCGATTGAAAAATTACTACTCGTCGAAATGTAAACCAATCAGAAGATGATAAATAAAAAAAAACACCACAATGAAGGACAAACCCATGGACATGGTCCTCCATAGTAACCTTGTGATATTTATATCCCTGTTACAAAAACGCACTTGACATTATCAAGTGATCCAGAAGAGATAGGCTACTTTTTATGCGAAATTATTTTATGTATAATCTCGACAGTTCTTTCTATCTTCATGAGAAAAGGTGTGCCATACAATTTTCTACAACAGTATTGGATGCTTTATTTTAAAAAAATTAAAAATGAAAAGATACAACAAAAAAATATGAAAGACAAAGCCGCCAACTTTCTAAATCACTTTTTAACACCCTTAAGATATTTGAAATTGAGGTGCCTAATGCTGTCAAATTCGTTCTTTCTTCTAGTATTTCACTGAATTCGTCCAAACATAGAGCTACAAAAGAAATTATAATTTTTTTCGAACTGACTTGAATAGCATGTGAAATTGTACCGCCTCATCCAGCCTATTAAACGTAACGACGCAATTGAATGTGAGAAGGCTATTGAACGTCTTCTTATTGAAAATAACAAGCATCCTATATCTCCGCAAATAAACCAATTCGAATTCAAAAAAGTGTTGCTTTAGTAGAGCCAAAAGGATTTTTCTAGAATGACGCGCAGCTTCGCTTGAAAAGTGATGATTTCAGTGAAAAGCGTGAAAACGAATTCACTTTCAGTTGATTTTAGAGTCATTTTTTATTAGTCATTTGACGAACACAGAGTTTTTCAATTGCTACGACGTAATTAGTTAGATGTTCGTATCTTAGCATACAAAAAATTAAAAATGGAAAACAATCTCATTATTTGTTTCGAAAGTTGATTACTTTGTTGTTTTTTACAGTTTTTTGTGCAGCTTTCCATTTTCATGTTTGTAATAAAACAGTTAACACGATTTTATTCAAGATTTTGTAGTCCATCTTTTCTATGAAAATATCAATTAATGCGATCACATGTAAAACGTTTTGTATACAGAATTACCAATCGCTTTTGAAGGTCCCACAACTATCAAATGTTAGAACTTTTTCGTTCTGATAACTGACAAGGTTCAATATTGATCCTAACTATCTCATGAAAGTGTAACAAAAGAAACAAGTGATTTATCTGTTACTCAAATGTATTGCTCTTTGCATAGACTTTCGATCAAACTGAATCCGTACGCTTTTGAACATATCAAGATGCGCCTGTTAATTCAAGAGCTCTCTGAGTCTTTCACCGATGCACCACAGACACAACTGGTATTGGCCTATTTCTCAAAGTGTCGTCACTAATAATGATTTGTTTTTGAAAGTGTGAGACTTTAAAGCAGAGTAATGTGTTTTGCAAATTTTAGCTAAAAAAAATTGTATTGTTCTTTCAATGGAACGATGTGAAATAGTAAAGATAAACGCAGCATACTTTTCTTAAACATCTGATCAAGATAGAATAGTTTATCAACATCATAGAACATTCAGTTCTGAATGAAACCATATATAACTTTTCCTCACTTATGAGGTTCAACCTTTAAAGTTTTTGAACGAGATGCACGTTCAAATTCTAGTATAATTAAGAGAACATTTTTTGGTCTATCATGATCATGGTCAAAGCAGAACAAATTATCAATGTAAGACATAATTTTATTCTGAACCGAACCTGATACAACTACTCTCTCGGCAATGAAGTTTGATGAAGAAACCTGTACCAGTATCGGCATGATCGGATTCTGGTGGAATTAAGAACCAGTTTTCTTTTATTGAACTCATTTCAGAGAGAGAAAAGTGTCTGAACATGATAAAGCATTTAGTCCTGAATCGAAGGAGACACAATACCTCTGACGGCAATGAGATTGAAGATGAAAACCATTGCTAGAATCACCAGAGTGAGATTCTGATAGAGTTATCGAAACAGGGTGTGGGTATACAAAAAGAGCATAAACACACCCATGTCCATAGACACCCACACCCTATTTTTTGTCCATTTGGTGTAACCAATGAATATAGTTGAATAGGTTTATCCAGGAGCGTACTTGATCGCGTAATATTCGAACAAAGATGTCATTTACGTCGTTTATGTGAACGCAATTCATATATTACGTATGTGAATGGGTGATTTTTATCCCCCTTCTACTTACACCCATGGGTTTATCACCTGCTTGTGGAATTTTTGTTGTTGTTATAAAACGTCGACTTACTGTTCGACATAAACCAACCAATAATAATCTCTACATAAATATACAAAGACTGAAAGAAAAATAGTGTTTCTTTATTCATATCTTAAAATTAAAGGATCAAAACTTTTTTTAAATTCATCAAAAGATGTTACAGGTAATTGACACTGAAAATTTCGACAAAGAAAAATTTTTGTCTCTTCATTGTTTTCATCAATAAAAGATTTTAATTGTTTATTATATTGAAGAAGTTTATTGTTAGTTTTATTCATATGAATTAATATTATATTGGGTACATATGATGCTTGAATATATTGAATAATACGGTGAATTTCTGCTTGATTAGGTGATTGAATTATAATTTCATTCATACCATGAGTATACATATCAAAACAACGAATCAATGTTGGCATTGTCATTGGTAATTTATTTAATTGACGAGCATAAGATTTAAACATCAAACGAAGACGATCTTCTAACGACGAATCATCAAAATAATGTCTAAGACGAAGTAAATTAAGTGCCGATACACCATTTGGCGATGGTTCAGCTCCATCATGATCTAAAAAAAAAACAATTAAGATTTATTTTAAAAAATAAAAGAAATATTTTTCTTGTATTAGTACCTTCAGATAATCGTAAAATAATTGAAGAATCTTTACCATCTGTACTTAAATATCTGTTTTTTGTTGAATCCCAAAAGTATTCATCTTGTTGTTTTTGTAATTCATAAGCAAATACCAATAGTTCATCATCAAGATTTGCTTCATATAAATCAATACAAGCTTGTATTATAAAAGCATAATCATCCAAAAATCCGTTGATTTTCGATTGTCTATAAGAGTAAAATAAAGTTTCATAAAGACTATAATCATTAGTTTCAACTTCTTAATGACATTCTCTTTTTTTTCCTACGGAATACAAGATTGGTTATCAATATCAATTGATAATCATTTCTATGTAATAAATGCTCAGTGTGCCCGTCTGCCGAGAATATGTTTGGACATCGACAGGGTCTCAATACTGTTTTTCAATGTTGGCAAGCGTTCCCAGGCTGCCGATAGCTATACACTTTCTCTCTTCGGTGCACGAAAAATGTAAAGTCATGTTGCCATCAAGCGAAGAAAGAAGTGTTCATCAAACAACAACATGCTCATTTGTTGGAAAAGCTAAATCTGAATTAATTGACGCTTCATGATGGATATCATCAAAACCAAGCCTGCAAGACTTCCAGAGATGGGCAACTCCAACTCGGAGTTGGAGTTAACTCCGGAGTTGCCACTTTTTTTCACTAGAGTTGGAGTGGAGTTGGAGTTGATTTTATTAATTTATAGGTGGAGTTGGAGTGGAGT